CACCTAAATCTCTATGCAACCCTGGGCCTAAGCAACTTGCCTGAGTTCCTGCAGGCAGAGCTGGGAATTGAGTCAGGTCTCCAGCCATTGCCTTAGCCACACCGCCGCCCTTCCGCAAGCAACCTGGGGCCGGGAAGCATTCAGCACGCATGGCCTCCCCGGCCTCCGGGTAACCAGGCTAGTGGCTTCCAGCTCCCGTAACCGTGGCCGGCTCGCCCTGGCCCCACTTGTTTTGCAGGTGTGTTGGGACAACCTCAGCAGTGCTGCAGAATTCCCGAAGTGGCACCAGCTTGGTGGCTTCATCCAGCACAAGGAAACCTGGCAAAGCTGTGACTGCCTGGTGAGGGAGCCCTCAGGTCATTCATTGCACAGCCCTCGCTGGCAGGAGCGAGGGAATCGGTGGATAGGGCACCCCCCATTGCCCAGCTCTGTGCCCACACTGAGCCCCAGCCCCGGGACCACTCCTGGCCCTGGGTGTAGTCCCTCTGCGTGATCACCCCGGCACAGGAAGGAGGGGGGAAAACAGGACGTGCGCTCCACACACCTGGAACCCGGCCTGCGGGACGGAAAGGCCTTTAATAACCTTGTGCTCCCTTGTTCTGGTCCTAGGTGACGCGCTACAAGGGGAGAGCCAACAACTTTCTGTGCCAGACCAAGGCCTTTCTGGAGAACCCACAGGCTCCAATTAAAGAAGCGGCCATCAGTTTCATAGGTAACCACAGAGCAGGGGTCCCTTTAGCAGGGGGGCTGGATCCGGTCCCAGGCTCTCCACAGTCCCTGCCAGCAGCGAGAAGTAACCCTTGGGCTCCTGATTGTCTAATGAAGGATCAAGGGTGTCAGAAGTCCGCAGGAGCAAGCTCACCCCAAACTGCCCTGATCGGCTGATGGGCCCCCTCTAACCCCACTGCTCCCCATGCAGTCCCCATTCCCCGCCCCCCCATACCCCACCATGGGCTCTTGGTAGTGGACCCTCAAGGTGCTGTGCTCTCCTTTGGCAACCAGCCCTGTAACCATCCCTGGGGACTCACCCTTTCCCCTGGGGATTCGGGAGCGCGTCCTGGCCAGCGAGGGGTGGGGGAAGCGAGGGGTTGCTTGGAGGGTGACATTTGACACCCTTGCTGGGGATGCGGGGATGTGACGAGCTGTTTGTATGTGTAGGGCTCACTGCCCGGCAGCTGGACCAGAGGAGCCAGGACAAGCTGGATGTCATCTGCAACGGTGAGTGGTACCTGCTTTGAGCACTGAGCGCTAGGGGGATGAACGGCCCAGGGCCATGGGCTGGGTTCAATCTCCAATGCCAGCAACATGATCTCGGGTGAGAGCCACAAAGGGATGCAAAATGTAGATCCCCAAACCCCTGATCAGCTGCCCCCTCACCCTGTCATGTCTGCTGGTTAGCATATGCCAGGCACTTAGCCCTGACCTCAGAGCTGCGGCCTGGCAGATCCCCAAACTGGGCCTGAGCTGGCTGGCCTTCGCAGATGATTGCCCCCCCCCCAAAACACAGCCGAGGTGGGGTGCTGCCTCCCCCCTTGTACTCACTAGCCCAGTGTTTGGAGCAGTCACCTCCACGTGGGGTGCCTGGGGTGAAGCCACTGCTCCAAATGAGGCCGAGGTGACGTCCGGTCACCTACCTCCTTGCTGCGTGCCCGGACCCCTGGGCAGCACAGGGCAGAGCAGCATCTCCACATTTGTTGGCGAATGGGGGAGGGGGGGAGTGATATAGCTCAGGCTTCTCACTCCCAGAGCAGGTTCACAGCTGGGCCTCCCAACCAGAGCTAGAGAATCACAGAATCATAGAATATCAGGGTTGGAAGGGACCTCAAGAGGTCATCC